TCCAATCAGGGAAGTCCGCCAACTTACCATGGAACTTTAAATGGAGACTGGGTAGATCGATAGAGTCTATAAGGTTATTTACAAATATAGATGGCAAAAACTGCAACCTGCATTTCACAAGCAACTTATGAGCAGGTAAAGTTTGTAATGGTGCAGTAGGGTGGAGGCTAGGTGGTGAGCTGTAGGCGAGGAGTCGCATACGTCGAATCGAGTCGTGCAGTGGGAAGGTTCGACGTACGATGCGATTCCTCGCTTATGCTTCACAGCTCACCACCAAGCCTCCACCCTACTGCACCATTACAAACTTTACCTGCTCATAAGTTGCTTGTGAAATGCAGGTTGCAGTTTTGCTATCTATATTTGTAAATAACCTTATAGACTCTATCGATCTACCCAGTCTCCATTCAAAGTTCCATGGTAAGTTGGCGGACTCCCGTGGTGAGCACATGTGGGGAAGGATGTTGAGTGTGCTTACTCATATTCCCTTGGCATCGACTCCGTAGTTTTCCTGGTTGTCATTGCTCCTAATTGTCTTTCTTTTGTTCTATCCGTCAATCATATGTAGGTAATTTTACCAATTTTGGCGTTAACGGTGAACGTTATCGGGAACTTAGACTCTGCGTTCTTACCTCGCGATACTGGAGAAGCGTAAACTAGCGGAACTAGAAGGGCTGAGAACAGCCAGACAGGGGATATAAGGAATTCGCCAGAAGAAAAGGGAACGTATCGATCTGAGATTTGAAGAACTGTGAAATCGATGGGTTCCAGAATCGGAGAGTCAATCCATCGATGCATATCTAGTCTCTTTCTCGTGTTCTCCAACATGCCGAGTCTCTAATCCCCCAGAGATCAATACGTATACAGATCTCTTCATGGATTTCCCGGTATTCCCAATCCCACCATTTTCCAGTTCTTTGATTCTCCAGAGTCGAAAGGTATTAGCGTAGCCCACTGGATGAAACATGACATCGACAGATCAGCCTATTTTTGAAATGTCCTTCTTTCCACCACCTCCACTTAGAAACATACTGACATCTGAGTAGGATTCGGCTTGAAAGTGACTCGCTGGTCCCGAATATATGCCTGATATTCGGGACCAGCGAATTTACAAGACGCCGCTTACCCTTTACAGGCGGGTCTGGCTGAACCCAGTTACCGTTTTCGATAGGGCTGAGGGCCTGATAGGCCTGGGTGGAGCTATAACGTGGGTATGAATCTCGAATGATGCTGCGGCAAGCTTCTCCAGTCTCTCCTACGAAAATTCCACAGACGCATCATGATTTAGAAATTGCATCCCCTGCTTTGAGGCGGGCCCATAAAGTAGTGTCGTGTGGGTCAACGTGCTAATTTTTCATGGACATTCAGTCAGTTGCTCATGTAGGAGTGCATTCCAGGTGGCGAACAAGAAACGCAGTGAGGCTGAACGCTTGCTCGTGATAGAGCAATCAAAAGTGAGTAAACTAGATGAAAAGGTACAAGAACTTGAACATGCTTTGTCTGCTCATCAAAGCGAGTTGGACATGATCAATGAACGCCATAGGACAATGATTCTCACAAGAGATGAAGAAATAAAAAAGCTTAGGGTTGGTCTGTCTTCGTCCTGCATATGATGACACTATGTTTTCTTCTACAAGAGGGTTACTCTTCTAGAATGAATTAGAACGAGCACAGCTCACAGAATGGCAGTCCACAGATGTTGATAGCGGAACAGTGGAGCAAACTATTTTGGATTTACAGCGTGAAGTTTCTCACTGGAAATCGCTTGTTGAGGTGGAACATAAAGAGGTATGTATCATTGCTTACCATTTGTTGTGGTTAGTATACGGAATCTCACGCGGTGAAAGTCTAAAAAGGAAAAAGTTGGAGGTAAGTAACAACCAGTCACATTCACGTAACTTTCCGTTCTTCGAATAGGGCTCTTTCCTCAAGGTCTCTTCATGGGGACGACTATATAACCTTGCTAGGTTTCCTCTGTATCAGTAAAATCTCACAGCTTTGCAACTCTGAAAACTTCCCCTATACTCTTCTGAAATAATGGAAAGAAGTGACGATCGGAGGGTCTGGAGTTTCTACGCGTGCTCATCATTAAATAGAAATAAAATGAAAAATCCTACTCCCAGAAGTTGAGTAAGGGATTGATAAGTGTAGTTTCACCAAGTAAAACAAAAACAAAATGTTTTGAAGCTCGGCATCCAGTAGTTAACACCGCGTCGCTCGCTCTTTCCCAAGTATATAGGTAAAGTCAGGACAGAAATTCAAATTCACTAATTCACTATGTTCTCGTCGTCCTATAGAGTTCCCCAGCAGTTGTACTAGAGCATCATACCCCGAAATATGTGCCTTAAAGTAATAATCCAGTATATTTTCTTAGCCACTCGAGATTGGTACAGATGATTTATTCTGCTAACGTTTCGGCGAACATCGCCTTCTTCGGAGCCTGCAAGTCGAAACCTATCATTGAAACAAGTCACCCAATCACCATTTCAAACTACAGTAAGAAAACACGGGCTAGGAGATCCTAGAGCTAAGTTGTAAAGCCACTTTTGACGGGTAGAAGTTCTACCGGGCACAATAGGTCTCAAGACTGCTGGAAGGTTTTTATGAGTTTTAAAACTTCGATGTAACGGGTCAGAAGGCTCGAGGGAAACAACAAAGGATGGGCCACCGCTGTAATTAGACCAACTCAAGGGACCAATTTGAGATGCAGAGGTCAATAGTTGAATGCAAGAACCAGCCTCTGGGGCAATTGTAATTCGAAATTGCTTGTGCCTTGAAGTCCGTGCCTTTCGCAAATATGAGAGCTCAACCTGCGCAGCATTGTGTCATTGCAAAGGTGCTGGTGAAGATTTTAATGATTGGTCCCATCCTTCATAACTAATTGTAAATCGCTTTCTCACCATGGTGATCTCATTTGACTAGTGACTATGGTACCTTATTCATTCAGCTTGTCTGCTTCTTCATACGCCTTCTACTATGTACTCGCTTCGGCAACGCTCAAGATGTGGAGTGCTTTTTCAAGACAGTTTTTTAGAATTTTGTAGAAGCACACACATGAGGTAGAAAATTGCAGTTACATTTTTGGTGAGTGCTCTAGAGAATGCCAAAAGGGGAGAAGAAGTTTTTGGAAAGTGCATCTTTCACAACCTTTACTTTGAGGTATACTATGAGGTACATAGCCGATACCATTGGGAAAACTTGCTTGATGTTAAAGACACATGGGTATGCTCAAACACATGAGGCGTGGTATGGACTACCACGCCCCCAGCTGTCGATGTGTCGTGGTCCCCCCGCCCAAACATGCCCAGGAATGGAGATACAGGACCGTGAAACACGCTAATTCCTCCATGCTCCGCCTTACACCTTTTTGCGGCGCAGATTCCCGTCCTTCATAACATCCGTCGTAAGCGCGCGTGTCGCGTGCGGCTCCTTGGCACTTTGCCAAGTCCTTTAATTGCGCTCTCAAATACAAGTAAACGCAATTTCCCTTTTTTTTTGGCCTTTGCGAAATACAAGTAAAACGCAATTTCCTGATGCGGATAACATTGGAGGTGCTACAAAATAAGAACAGAAGATGATGACGAGGGCCAGAACTCAAGAGCAACTCGGCTGCATCTGCAGTATCCATCAGAGGCCGCGCATTCCCACAAAACATGAGAATAAAAACAACCCAAGCGTCCCACTCGTTTGTTCTAAGTATTTCTATGGCTTTGGCGCCGGATTCGCGCCGGATCGTTAGAATTTACAGGCGATTTTAACTAATTTGCCTTTCCTTGATTTTTTTCATTTTTGTTTTGTTTACATTTACATCGTTGTGCTTCATTTCTAGCCTGTGTCATCTTCATCTCCTTGTACATGGATTTTGAAGCATGAGCAACACCTAAAATTTTATTCGCATCAGGAAATTGCGTCTTGCTTGTATTAAACTAAACGAGTTATGCCAGTTTTTATTTTCATGTTTCGTGGAAATACGTGGCCTCCGAGGGATGTTGCAGAAGTGGCACAGTTGCTTTTGAGTTCTGACCCTCGTCATCATCTTCTGTTCTTATTTTGCAGCACCTCCAATGTTATCCGCATCAGGAAATTGCGTTTTACTCGTATTTTGAGAGCGCAGTTAAAGGACTTGGCAAAGTGCCAAGGAGCCGCACGCGACACGCGCGCTTACGACGGATGTTATGAAGGACGGGAATCTGCGCCGCAAAAGGTGTAAGGCGGAGCATGGAGGAATTAGCGTGTTTCACGGTCCTGTATCTCCATTCCTGGGCATGTTTGGGCGGGGGGGGGGCGGGGACCACGACACATCGACAGCTGGGGGGGCTGATAGTCTCATACACCCTCAATGATGTGCTGGAGCGAAACTATGTGTCTTTAAAGAGCTTGTGACAGTGGAACACTTGAAAACTCATGTGAAATGCGCGTCACAGGCGACAGTTTACAAGCGAAAGTAGATGCTGGTGAGGGAGATTCGTCGCGGTCCCATGCTCTCAAGTTATGAACCTTTCTCAGTCATTTTGGTTCCATTTCTCTCGTGTTGGATGGCGCGCGTTTTGTGAAACTGCTTATCGACACTAACCAAACTGTCACTATTCTCAAAATTCGTCAAAGCGAATTTCGGCTGGAATTTCACCCTATGAGTTCAGTAGCGCTCCATTCCACGATTTACGATACCTCGTTTTTCGACTTCAGCGCCAATTACCGCTAATCTGAAACAATCGCTTCTTCCCACCAAACTCGTTGTTGAGTTGCATACAGAACCTGTTCTGTCTGCAGCAAATGGTATCGGAGCGCGAGGACTGAGTGCCAGAATCATGAGCAAGATAATCAAGTACCCTTTAACGAATCATCAAAAAGAATTCTTGACTACCTGGATTCTGGTGGTTGACAAGGCTCCGAGTCTTCCTCTTGAACACGTGATTTTGTCCCGTTCTTGCGTAAATTTATCCATTTGTTGGCATACAGTCAAGTAATTAATGTGTATGATAAAAGTCTGCAAAACAAACGAAAAAGAAAACAAGTTCTGGATCTGGAGCAGCTGCTACCGAAAAGGCGCTGAAAAATGTGGTAATCGTCTTTGCGAGTGAAAGGAGGGTGTCTAACGCCTGGGCGTAAGTGGTACTTCGTCCCCGAAATTCATCTTTAGCGGCGAATGCCATTTGAAGCCAACGACGCTGTACATGCCCAATATGCGACCCACGAAATGGAGTCCCGACCTGATTCCTTTGATGACATTTTGAGATTATAAAAGATGAACCGAAAGAATGCAAAACTTCGTCACTGCGAGTGGATGAAATCATTAATCCATCGCCACCGTGCTAAGAGAGACCACTAAGCTGTCCTGCCGCCGCGAGTTCAGGCTTGAAGAAACCACTACAATCGTTTTAGTGCTGCCATAGGTAATGCCCCATCCATCTGTATTTCACTTCGTTATGCTCAGTTTAAAGCACAAGCCAGAAGAAAAACAGATTTTCAGGGTAACGCAGAGCTGCACATACGAAAAAGGAAGGGTTAGGGTAAGCTGATTAGTGGAGAAAAGCTAGCAGGAAAAAAGCAGTCAAAATGCCCCAATTTAGCGACTTCATGCCGGGACCTTCATCGTTCTTCGTGCATGCAATGAGGAAAACGCGAGTTTGTACGAATTTCCACTCGTCGCTACCATGACGACATCAGCTCTTTTATCTTATCACCTCACTCTTGCCCGTTTACGGAAATGCGAGGCAGAGATAGCATAGTGGTACTAGCCTATAGCCAGCCAGTGGGCGATCTTAATTGTTTCAGCTTTCAACGAAGTTCTCGCCGATTTTCACTTTTTGAAGGTAGCGCAGCCTCCAGAATCGCGTTCCAGACCATCTGACACATATAAGAGGTTATGGCCTAATTTTGTCGCGGAAGGTGCCTTTAAGAGTTCTCTTAAATCAACACATTTTCAATTCGAAGCGAGATAAGTTACACTTTATTAAACTCTGACTGGACTTTTCCACCATCAAATTCAACAATACAATGCTACACGATAACTCCGCCATAGCCTTCTGGAACGAAGCCATCGAGAGATTCGCCATTCACGACCGTGACTTCGATGCTTTGAATTCCGTTTGGTGCGTTGAATTTATCCACCACCTGCACGACCACCCTGTTGAGCTTCCGTCTCGAACCGAGTACTGAGCGGGTTTAGTGACAATACTTGGATGTGTCCTTCTTCAGAAATATTTCCCTGAGCTGATCGATGTGACTGTCAGCGTTCACTTTTCACTCTGGGGTCCACGAAGAAAATATCGGTCTTCCCATTCCAGGAACTTCCGGTCCATACCATCAACCCGCGCCTTGGCGACTGCGGTGAAGATGATATCCTGGACCGTAGCGACGTTGTCGGAGCTGCTCGATGTTGGAGGTCTTCCAGATCAAGAGTGCCGGTCGGTAGCTGTCCATGGGTGACTCCATACAAGAAGTTTCGCAGCTGTTTGGAGGTGACGTGAATTCCATAGGCCTTCTCCAGTCAGGCTGCGATTGGAGATGACTTCATATTTTGGTGTACATGAAGGTGATGGACGAGAGCCTGCTCCTGCTTATCGAGGAACATCTTGGGTATCTTCCGCCCTGGTACTCGTATCCACGTCTTCTCTCTGGGCTGCGTATTCTTTACTGATATGTGCCTCGGGCAGAACGTATTTTGTCCCACCCCCCCTCCCCTCAGCCCCCTCCTTCGTATATAACTGAGTGCTACCAATTTTATCTTGAGTAGCCACAAAGCTCTTAACGGTTGAACATGGGAATAAAGGAGAATGTTCGGCATTGGTCGTTTGGAAAGCGTCATGCATCCAACTGCTATTGTGTATCTCAGAAGCGTCTGAGGGCAAACTCGAGCGGCAATAGACTTATTGTGTTGTCAACCACTATTGTATGAATTTTGAGACTTTGGAGAGAAAGCTTGGTTTGGGCAACCTCCCAATTATGCAGCTGTGGTAAGGCGTATCCTGCCGCCATTCTCATTCCCCTCAATCATGTTTAAATGTTCCAATAAGACAAATTACCCAGGTTATTTTGCCTTTCCAGATACTATGGCGTACTAAGGCTGCGTTCATACTTTGCGGTCAGCGACTAGGGAAGTGTTGATATTGATCTAGCGAATCGCAGCGTACACCAGCGGCTACAGCACCTTAAGGTAATAGGAGAGGA